TATGGGAACATTTAACCGAATTAGATAATGACTTGAATTATATAGCTTTTAAATAAAAGTATTATTAATAAGAAAAATAACTAAATGATGTTAATTTCACGGGACGGATAATATGATGGGACGGGTTTGGGTTGATATTTATAAAAGATAGTATACCACGGGTGAAATCCTAAAATTAACAATCAAAATAATCTATCAAACAAATTACATTTTGATTTTTTTAAGAAAATATAGCCCCGCGGTGTACCGCGGGTTAAAATCTAGTATATATTAAATTTGTATAGAGTTGAAATAATATTAATATTACAAATTTTTTATATAATTTAAATATTATAAATATTTTTAAAAATATGTAATATATATTTTTTGTTATTGAATAAGAGGATATTATGTGTAAGAAATGTAGAAAATAAGAGTTTAATATTTTTATGGGAGACTCACAAAAATGCCCCTTTTTTAATACCCCTTTTCAAAAATGCCCCCTTTGGATGTCCATTTTTAAAAATACCCCTTTTATGTACAAAATGACTAAATTACCCTTCTTTTAATAAAAGATATCATAAATATATAAGGAAATATAACAAAATTAGGTCCACAAAATACAAAATATTTTTTGGCGGGAAAAGTGATCCCCCAATTTTTCCCGCCAAAACACTTGTAAAAATTTGTAAAACCTTTAAAATACCTTGTAAAATTTTCCCGTAAAATTTTTTCCCGCCAAAAAATTTTCCCGCCAAAAAATCTTGTAAATTTTTCCCGCCAAAAATTTTCCCGCCAAAAAAATTTCGCAAAAAAAATTGCGGAATCACTTTTCCCGCAAAAAAATTTTTTTGACGGGAAAAGTTTTTGGCGGGAAAAATTTTTACGGGAAAATTTTACAAGGTTTTTTAAAGGTTTTTACAAGTGTTTTGGCGAGAAAATTGCGGGATCACTTTTCCCGCCAAAAAATATTTTGTATTTTGTGGACATAATTTTGTTTCAAATAAGGGTAAAATGGTCATTAAAAATTAAAAGAGGGCAAACTTAAAAATGGACTCTCAAAGGGGGCATTTTTGAAAAGGGGTATTGAAAAAGGGGCATTTTTAACAATTTCTCTATTTTTATTATGGAGTCGAAAAAAAAATCTTTTATTTCTATACATGTTATTCATTTATTAATAATAAAAGAAAACAAATCCTTTAAATTAGATATTAACTAAAATAAACGCACCATAATTACTTATTAAGTAACAACCAATAAATTTCACCAAAAAATAGGTAACAACCAATAAATTCTAAACGCAGTAATTAAAGAATGAGATATTAAAAAAAAAAATCAAATAAGATATAAGAATCTTAAAATAATTGAACATCTAAATAATTTAATTGTTAGTGTCGATTTTAATGTCTTCATTAATGTGGATTTTTTTTTTTTTACAGAGAAATATTTCCTAAAGATTATCACATTAATGACTCAGAAAATTAAGGAAGATATGAATTTATGATTCTCGAAATCGTATTGGTAATATCTTTAAGTAATATTTTTCAAATTTAAATAATTAATACCAATGGCATTCATCCGTAAATAAGGTCCAACTCCAGGATTTATTTGCTAAAAGTCATTCAAAAATGTATATATAGATATAGATATCGAAAACGAAACTTTTAAAAATAAGTTTCAAATAAAACAGATGATTTATGAATACATTTTTTTTACTTCTTATAATTAATTCTTTAACACTTTATTTATAAAAATTGAAAAAAAAAAAAAGCTAGCCGAATCATTTCACCGAGTAGGAAGAATCTCTCTCTCTCTCTCTCTCTCTCTCTCTCTATCTCCATCTGATAGCTGAATCAGTTTTATCTCTCTCTCTCTCAATCTCTCTGATCAGCTCCAATGTAAGCCCACCAACTTCACCTCTAATCTCCTTCTTCCTCTTTAACCTTCACTTGCCCATCTTTTCTACATCAATCGACGATTCTTTTCTCCGTTAATACGCGTTAATTTGATTCTTATTGCTGAGGAAATGAAGAACCATTGATCATTGTACCCACTGATGTCAAATTTCAGGATAGAATTGAATACTGTTTGTTAATCTTGATTGATGTGATAAAGTTAACTCCTTTTTTGTGTATATAACAAAAATGTAGTGCCATTCAAAGGTTTTTGATTTACATTGACCATTTTAGTTTTGTGATCAAGAAAGCTTGATGCTTTGGGTAAATGAAGATTCTACTGTTCATTGTTATTTTGTAGTTTGTTGAAAGTAGATACCTTTGAGAATCTAAAGGATCTCCCTTTATGGCGGATAAGGACTGTCCTTTCGCGGTTGAAGATATTGTTCAGACGCCTTTACCTGGTTATGTTGCCCCAACTGCAGTTAGCTTTAGTCCGGATGATTCTTTGATCACTTACTTGTTTAGCCCTGAAAAGAATTTGAATAGGAGGGTGTATGCGTTTGATGTGAATAAAGGTGAATCTAATTTGGTTTTTAGTCCTCCTGATGGTGGAGTTGATGAGAGTAACATTTCACCGGACGAGAAGTTGAGAAGGGAGAGGTTGCGGGAGCGGGGATTAGGAGTAACTCGGTATGAATGGGTTAAGACTAACTCGAAGATGAGATTCATTGTTGTGCCTTTACCTGCTGGGGTTTGTTCTGTTTTTCCCTTGCTTTTATATTAGCACTACGTTCTTTGTTAGGATCTTAAAACCTTTGGACAATCTTATTGGAATTGAACTGAATTGAGATGGATTAAGAAAGTTGCTGATAGGTACTAGAATGTGGTGGAAGGAGAAAGTATTAGGGGCATTTGACCAAGTGGTTTGTTGGTAGCCTTAAAAGGCTTGGGAGGGTTAGGAGATCTCTTTGGGTTTGGTCACCGGTTCTTGATTGTAATCGTTGATCCAAAGATAATCCAGAGTCTGAATCTTATCAGTTGGATTAGTGATCTATTTTACATTTAGCATTCTTTTTTTAGAATCTTGAAATAATATAACTCTGATTGGGTTACTTTTTGTTTGTTTTGTGTTGTGACCATGGTTAGGTGTATATGAAGGACCTTTCTTCATCACCAAATCCGGAGCTCATAGTTCCAAGTTTACCCACTTCTCCAATTATTGATCCTCGACTATCTCCTAATGGCTTATTTCTTGCATACGTAAGAGACTTCGAGTTGCATGTCCTCAATTTGTTAAAAAACCAGACACAACAGTTAACAACCGGTGCCAATGGAAGTACTTTGGTAAGTAAAGCTTTTTGCTACATAACTGTTCTTGTGGTCTTATTAACATACCATCGGGAGATTAACTGTCATTTGTTTTGTTGTTGCAGACTCACGGTCTTGCTGAGTACATAGCTCAAGTGAGAAACTTTTTTCCGAAAACTTCCCCATTTTGTTTGCTTAATAAACAGTTTAATGCTACGAATTGTATGTTATATCTGAAAAATTTTCTTGCAACTTTTTCTATTTCAGGAGG